ATGGTTCGTCTCCCCCTCCGACTTACTCCCCTTCATTCTTCCCCTCCTGCTCTCTTCTTCTTCTTTTTTTTCTTAACATATATTGCATTATTTGTTTCACCACTGGAGTTTTTAACTCCCAGACTTGTCTGCATTGAACAATTTATTTAGTACTGTTGAGGTTTTCCTGCCCTGGAACTGGTTCTTGTGAGAAGTACTGGTTCTTCTGCTTCTGAGTCTGTGCTCTGGTAAGTTATGACTTCCTGCATTTGCCTCTCTGTCTCTTCAGGGTTGGTGGCCCTGTGTCCTTCCCTCTTTGATCAAAACAAAAAGAGTTGTTGATTTTTCAGTCTGTTCAGCTTTTTTACTTGTTGTTAGAACAGAGTGATGACTTCCAAACCCTTACATGTAGAACTGGAAACTGGAAGTCCTGAAATACAGATTTTTTACTTTCTCTTTTAATTATTTTCTTATTGAGGAAAAATTGGCCTGTAACATTATATATAGGTTTCAGGGTACAACATTGTAATTCAATATCTATATGCACTATGAAGTGATCAACACTAACAGTCTAGTTATTGGTTTAACTTTTATTTATTTTTTTTTTGTTTTGGTTTAACTTTTAATTTAACGGTTTTTTTAAATCATGTTCATGGCCTAACTTTATTTCTTTCTCTTGTGCTTAAAGCCTTGTACTGACTAATACCAAATAGAATGGAAAGGAGAACAGTTTTATCTTTGTTGTCATTGATTTAAACAGTATCAGGCTACAGAACCCAGTGTGACTCCCCTAACCACTCATCATTTCTGTAGCATCCCACTCTATTAAAAACACAATTATATGACTTCATTTGTATTTTCTTATTTTTCTCTCCCATTCTCAGGACCCAACTTTGCCCAGTCCCAAGCCAGCCAAAATTCAGACCAAAAAACCCAAGGCAAGAGGTAAGCAAGCCAGCTGGGAACAGGTATGTGCTGCCATTAAGGCAGAGCAGAAGCAGACAGTGGGAAGGGTCTGCAGGTCACCGGATCTTACTGTCTCAGCTCTAAACTCTGCAAAAATGGTCAAGATTCCTACTAGTGTCACCAGGGAAGCTGTAGCCTCCTTGCTTCTCTGTTCTGATTATAAAATCTTAGGTTAAATGTGGAATGAATGTCTTAAATTCTTAGCCAAGAAGGATGACTTCCTGGAGAAGGCAGGCTATGAGGAAAAACATAAGAAGAAGAAGGTCCAGAACGAAAAAAGGCCGGGGGGTGGTGGAGAGGGAGGGAGAGAGAAACAAAAAGAAATATTTGGGAAAAAGGAAGGAACTGAGAAAACTCACTAGACTGAGAATGAGCAGAGGATGCAGGGCAGAGACTAACTGTGGGGAGTCCATGGACCCTTGCCAAACTGTCATTTAGAGAGAAATAAACAAATGTCCTTCATGGTTGGGGGGTGGGCGTGATACAGGCCTAACAGATGGACAAGATGTAACCCTGCAAAAGAAGACAATGAAGAGAGCTCTGGGAAATAAATCTGCAGCCCCTCCTGTACTCGTAACAGGAAGGAAAGAAGGGCATGGGAAATCGGAGCCTGACCAGCCAGGTAAGGCTCAGGGCCTGGGCAAAACTATGGGAAATGAGGTTCAAGTCCGTGTCTCCGCTCCCTGGATCATTTCTTAACTTTATAGCTTCTCATTATTTTTAAAAAGAATAAAAATTAGGGGCATCTAGATGGCTCAGAGGTTAAGCGTCTGCCTTCGGCTCAGGTCATGATCTCCAGGTCCTGGGATTAAGCCCCACGTCGGGTTACCAGCTCAGTGCAGAGTCTGCTTCTCCCTCACCCTCTGCCTCTCCCCCTGCTTGTGCTCTCTGTCAGTCTTTCTCTCTCTCGAATGAATGAATAAAATCTTAAAAAAAAAAAGAATAAAAATTAGGTATCTCAGATTGCAGAGTGTAGCACATAATGGTTATTGATGTCATTTGATCCAAGAACAGGAGGATGGTGAGGAGTGGGGGAAACTGACGTTTATCGAGTATTGCTGTGAGCTGGCTATATAGATACTTCTTGCTCGTTCCCATTAATTCTTTCAGTATCTCTATGACTAGACAGTTGCCATTTTAGAGATAAGAGGACTAAGGCCCAAAGGGTTTAAAATTTGCTCAAGACCCAGGACTAGCATATGGCTGGATCCGTGGCTTGAATCCAGGTCTTTCTAACTCCAAAGCCCATTTTCTTTCTATTGAGAAAAGTCATCTTTCCCAGAGATTTTTTTGGAAATAGGAATTTAGGAGTTTGTCTTGTAAAAGGTAAGGCCAGATGGCCTAATAGGACTCTCAGTTTCATCACTTTTTCATCCAGGCCCTAAGAAAAAATTTAAAGCTCCTCAAAGCAAAGCCTCAGGAACCAGCTTGTCTGAGGACAAAGAAGCTAGAATGGTGCCCAAGGGCCTGACCCCACCAGCTCATCGCGGGGTCTGTCCCGTGGGGGGGAAAGAAGGCTGGAAGTGTCCTCCGGCGGCTGGAAGTGTCCCCCCTGACGATGACACCTCCAGTGACCTGGACCTGGAGCAACTCCTGGAAGATGTTGGAAAAGAGCCAGAGCAGCTGGAGGGGCTGCAGTGTGGAGATGAGCCTGGGGAGTTCACGTTGGCCTTCTTCGAGGAATAGCTGTGTGCACCTGCCTCCCTGCTGCTCTCTCACCCCCTCCCCTGCCAGCAGCAGGGAGAGGCCCTCAGAGGGTCCCTGAGAGGCTGCTAAGTGTGGGGCTTGTTCATCGGCTACAAGTCACCTGGCTGAAGTCCCAGCTGTGCAGTTTCCGTGTTAATAAAACAGGTTATGGCTTTCCGTAGTTGGTCTCTAACCACATGCTTCCCTTGGGCTTCCCTCCCTCCCCTCCGCTCCCTGTGGCACGTCCCCATTTCCACGGGAGGCCGGCACAGTATAGGGATCTGGGAAGGCGGGGACACCCAAGTCCTGGGAGAAGGCTGTCGGGAAGGGCAGGTCTGGGTTGAGACCCCGGCTCAGCCACTTACTAGGTGCGTGGCCTAGAGAAAAGCGCTAACCATTGTGGTCTCGTCACGCCTCAGGTGAGTGCGTCCAGTCCCGGCTCAGCTTGTTGGAGATGCTTAAATGAGGTGGTGCACTTGACACATGCTCATTCTGATCGGAGGGGAAGGAGAATGGGTAGAGGAGGGGCAGACCCTGGGTTCTGGGCTGGCTACCAGCGTTCTGGGTTTACTGTTTCCCGCCTCAAGGCAGTCACCGAACTCCAGGACTGGGGGAGGGATCTCGGGTGTGAGCTCTTTATTATAGTTCATTTTTGGTGAGAAGGAAAAGACAGAAGTGGAAGGTGCCATCAGTTTTCTCCTTAGATGCCTTGGGGCAAATTCTAGGTAACTTTCATTCTTGTGGGCAAGGGCTGGGAAGGCGGAGAGGGAGTTGGAGCAGATGGCTCTGTTTTTCTGCGGTCCTTGGTGGCCTCCCACACCTGCTGACTTCTGAGTCTTCTGAGTCTGGCCGGGGTTATTATCAGAAGCTGTGACCTGCCGGGCTGCTTAGTCTAAGGAGGTCATCCTTCAGTCCCACTCATCAGGCCTTTATGAGAGAGTATAGGGTCTCCTCCTGGGGGCTCTCCTTGGGAGGGATGCAGGGAGATGCTGCCGGTGATGAGGAGCTGGAGAGAGTGAGGGAGGCGTAGAGGATGCCGCTGTTGTTCTGGTCTTCATCCTGGTGAGAAGGAAGGAGAAGGGGGTGAGACAGTGGAAGGGGAGTGGTGGCTGTTTCTCTCCTGCCTTGTGAACCTCATGGGGGGGACCTGGGTCTGAGCTGCAGCCTGTTCCTCTCCACCCTCCACCACTGAAACCCACCAGTCCGCCCACCACCCTCTTCCCCCCTTATCCTCCTGAATTTCTCTGCGGCATCTCCCAAGGATGGGCCCATGCTTCACAGACATCCCCTCCACCACCCAACACCCCATCCTAGGAGGTCCCGTCATCCACAGAGACAACCCTCTGAACACATGGGACTCCTATGTCTCCCAGACTCCAGGGCCCTCTACTCCACCATACCCTGGACTTTTTTTTTTTTAATCTCTGGGACTGAGAACTCTGAAATATTAAACGCCAGCACCATTTTTATGCTACAACTTTCTTTCCTTCCAGCTTTCTCTTACCACCATCCTGCTTACTATACCTGTGCGTTGACCCCATGAACCCTTGTGCCTTAATAATCCACTTTCTTTCGGGCTGTCCAAGCTCCCCACTGATCCTCTGCTCTCCACTCCCCTCTCACAAGCTCCTTGACCTCTCCTGTTCCCCTGTCCTTATGCCACACTTAGCTGACACATCTTTAATTCTGGCTGTGGCCTGTGGTGGGGGTGCTATTTGTTTATCCAATATCCATTCATTTCTTCTTACTCAGTTACAGAACCTTGATTTTATTTGGGGTGGCAGTGTGCTCCCCTCCTGATAGATGTGGGACACATGACTACATCCTCGCCAATACGATTCAAGGGGAAGTTGTGGTGTTTTTGTCCTTCCTTCCTTCCTCCTGTTTCCTGCCTGGATTCAGAAATAATGGCTGGAGTCTGAGCAGCCATCTTGGATCATGAGGCAACCTTCAGGGTAGAAGCCAGTAGCCAGGACAGTGAGCAGGAAGATGGAAGCCTGAGTGCCTGAGGACACTTGGCCTCTGCCATCCGCCTCCTCACCCTTTTATATGAGGGGAAACAAGAAACTCTGTCTTATGTAAACCCTGTTACTTTTGGTCTCTGGTGCCAGCAGGGAAACATAACTTCTAACCAACAAGTTCTAGAAGTTTCTAAACCTGCATGATTGAATACTGCGAGGCGAAACATGATCATGGGCCGCGAAGCTTTTACAGAGCTCTGGCTTCCCATCTGGGTGGAGTCCCGAAACACCATCTTCCATTCCCTCAGTGACTATCACAGCTCTTCATCTCCGACCCTCATCCTCACTCTACAGACAACCGCTGTGATTTTTCCTCTGCAGAATTAGAAACAATTTGTATATCATTGAGTTTATCAATATTTTTATTCATGGCTTTTAGGTTTTATGTCATACTTAGGCCATCTCCACTCCATGGATATAAGATGGTCTCACATGCTTTCCTCTAGTACTAGGGTTATTTTCCCCTTCATTTAACTCTTTGATCTCTGTGGAATTTATTTTGGTGCAAATTATGAGATCACATTATTTTCTCAGATGGCTGCTCAATTGTTCCAGCACCATGTATTGAATGACTCCTCTTTCCCCATTGATTAGAAATGCTACTTGTTAACCTACTAAATTCCTGAATGTATTTTGATCTGTTTCATCCTGCCTATATTTGGGCTTTTCTCTTTTCATATATTGGTTCATCTGTGTTTCAGTATGACAGCATCGAATCATTTTAATTATTACAGCTTAACACTTGCCGGCGCTAATGCTCATGTGGTCCTTATTCCGTGCCAGGATCTATTCTCAATGCGTTACATTTAATTGTCATGACAACCCCCAGGGTAAGTATTATTACTCTTCTCATTTTACTGATGAGTGAGTTGAGGCCCAGAGTAATAGTATCATTGCACCAGAGTTTACTCAGCCAGGATTTGACTGCAGGCAGTCCAGACTCTGTGCTCTTCACCTCTGTGCTTTAGTGTCTGATGGGGCTAATCTCCTCTCACTGAAAATTTTCTTCAGAGGAATTTCAAGTCAATATTGGAGCGTGTTGGGGTGTAAATAATGAATGCCTCTAGCCCTGTCCTCTTGAGCTGTAAGTGCATACATCCACATTTCTGATGAACATCTCTACTCAGATGCCACACAGGCATCTCTAACATATCCCAAACTAGAGAACCATCGTTCTCCCCCAAACATGGTCTTTGACCTTCTGTGTTCTCTAATTTGTTGGTGGTTCACCATGGATTCATTCACCCAAGTTCTTCTACTCCGTCACCTCTACACCAGTCAATCACCAAGTCATACTGGTTTTCCCTCTTAAACTCTTCCAGGATCTTGCTCTCTCCCTCCATCCACCGCCACCGCATTAGACTGGCCCCGCCTGGCCCACTTCTGGCCCCTCCACCACAGACTGATGTATCTGTAAGGCAGAGCTGAGGTTGCCTCTGGGATCAGAGGCTCTTGGGTGTCATTTACAAGCTTCTCTTCTCCCATCTCCAGCCTCCCCCACAGCACTGAGCTACTTAGAGTTCCCGCACTGATTTCCTGCACCAGCGTGGACAGTGACCTCCTCACCACCCTCACCGTTTGCCTGGCCAATTCTCTTATATTCTTTGAGACTTTTTGCAAGCTCACTTCCTATGGGAAGTCCTCCCTGATTCCCCTCCTTTCTCCCAACCTGCCACAGCTCTTTCCAAATGAGGCAGTCACTCCCTGTCCCCTCCCTCCACCACTGAGTTCCTTAAAGGCAGGACCTATGCTTTATTTACATTTGTAATCTCCAATTACAAGCCAGACCCTGGAAAATAGGCCCTCAACCAATGCTTGATGAGCTGAGCCAACTTCCTGTCCCTTCTCTTCTTGCCTTACTCTTCCCAGGGCTGACCCTCCCCTCCAAATGAACCAAAAGGTGAGGATTGATGAGAAATGATTAAGTCAAAAGACAAAAACTAGAAAATGATCAAATTTCTGGAGAGGGATTGGTCTGGAGCAGTGGTTCTTAAACTTGATCACACACAGACACCACTTGATGAGACCTTCAAAAATGCAGATTCCCAAACCCACACCTCAAGCCCAGCAGGGATCTGCATTTTTTAACCAGCACCTGGGGTCATTCTGATGCTGGTGGTTCTGAAAAACACTCAGTTGGGAAGCTTGGTGGGGGGTGTGGCCAAGAACCACTTACCTTTGCTTCTCTTCCACCTGAGGTAGAGTATCAGTCCCAAAGTTGCAATTATGAGCACAGCACCAGCCAGTGCCACCCCAACTGCAGCTCCCACACTCAGGGGTGAAGACGCTGAACTCCCAGTGCCTTCCAAGACACTGAGGCCAGTGGTGGTGGGGCCCTCTGTGGTCCTCTCGGCAGCTGAGAAGAAGACATGAGAATTTAGCAGATTCTCCCCTGGAGGACTGGAGGTTTCTGGATGAAACTTGTTACCTTGTTCCCTAGTTTGGGGAATATTGGGGGTGGGGAGCAACTCTCTGAAGCTCTCACAAAGGGAGGGGGTAATGAATCCACATCACCCAGCTTAAATGCTGACTCTACATCCCATCAGTGGTGTGACCTCAGAACCTCATTTCATGGCCGACAAATAGGGATCACTAAATCACAGGAAGAAAAAAACATTTTTTCATTGTGGTAAAATATAGCTAACATAAAATTTACTGTTTTAACCATATTTAAGTATATAGTTCAGTGGCATTAAGTACATTCACAGTATTGTGTAACCATCACCACTATCCTCCAGAACTTTTTCATTTTCTCAAACCGAAACTCTGTCCCCATTCAACACTAACTACGCACCCCCTTCCCCAGCCCCAGATACCCACTGTTCTGTTCTCTGTCTCTATGAATTTGACTGCTCTAGGGACTTCTGATAAGAGGAACCAAACAGTATTTGTCCATTCTAGATTGTTTTAATAAGTGACAAAACAACTGTAAAGCACCTAGTTAATATTAGAAATATGTTTTTAAGATTAAATTAATATATATTGAACTTTACTTCCTATAAAAAGATTGTACCTTTGTAGATGTTTAATGCACTGTTTAAAAACTGACAGAATGCTAAGCCACAGGAAAAAATTCAACTCCAATAAAATCTTCAGGTTAGTGTGGACCAAATTTTCTGTCGACCCTCATAAGAAAGGAATAATAAAACCATCTTTTAATTGAGATAAAAATTTTAAAGTCTTAAACAAATGTATATAACATGCTATTTAGAAAAATAAAAACCAGAGGAATACATATTAAAAAAAAACCTCCTAGAATGTGACTAAAGCCACACTCTAAGCTAAATTCATAGTATTAAGTGCTTTTATTATTTAAAACAAGAAGAAATTTGAAAAATGAACAGAATATTTGATTCCTCAGAAAAAGTACCAAAACCAGAAAGAAGCCAGCCCTAAGAAAACTCAGAGGAAAATAGTAATGAAACCTATGTAGGAATAAATTTATTAGGAATCAGGACAACAGAAATAAATGCAGGAAGTAGTTATTTAGGGGAAAACCAAACAAAAAAACCAGAAACAAACAAAATAGACAAGACTCTTGCAAACCTAACAAGAGTCTGCTGAAATCATTTGTGAGTGTATGCTCAATTATAGGTTGATAAATTTTAAAAACTGAATTGGATGATTTTCTGAAATAAAAATTTTTGAAAATGGAGTTAAGTAGTACACTTTCAGTGATAGGTAAACAAAGAAGTAAAAACTTTAGGGACGCCTGACTGGCTCAGTCAAAAGAGCATGAGACTCTTGGTTTGGGGGTCATGAGTTTGAGCCCCACATCTGGGGTAGATTTTGCTAAAAAAATAAACTTGAAATAAAAGTGAGAGCTCTATTAAAGAACTACCTATCATAATTAGGATTCCAAGCTCGGGAGGTTTTATGGGTAAATTCTTTTTTTGTTTTTTATGATTTATTTATTTATTTTTTAACAGAGAGAGAGACAGCGAGAGAGGGAACACAAGCAGGGAGAGTGGGAGAGGGAGAAGCAGGCTTCCTGCTGAGCAGGGAGCCCAATGTGGGACTCGATCCCAGCACCCTGGG